GCTTTGCTTGGGTTGCTGTTGGTTTCCTTTTAGGCCCGTCCAAGAAGCTGTACCCTATAACACCCTTGTGATGTTCAATCCTTGGACATGTTCTTGTCCTAGCCACCAGCAGCTCGGGATTGGGTGCAACCAGCACCAGGAGCCGCCTCGTCGCACCTGTTTGAAGCTGCAGGCCCGGTCAAATGGGGAAACGCTAGCTGATCTCACTTCCTGCGTTGATTGGTCCAATTGCCATTTACCACATCGGGTCCAACCCCCAAACATGTGACTCAAGTCCGAGTTCCGGAACCCATGGAGTGATCTTACAGAGAAGCCTCCGAGAAAAGGGAAATCCCCCAGGTCCGGGGCCAATGAAACCTCATTCTCGAGTGAGTCATGAAGCTGCGACTTTCTCCTCTTTCGAGCGGCTCAATGGGGCCGCGGCTCAATGGGCAAGCGACAGCTCGCGCCCCACAGTTGATCGGAGCCAAGTTTCCAGGATCCGATGCGGAGAATGAATTCAATCAACCCTGCCTCCTGTTTAAATTTTGAACCCTCAAGCTTGCTGAGCTATAAACCGGACGTCTGCCCAAAGACTACTACCAAAACAAGCTAAGAGATTGCTGGAGTAGACAGATAGAAAGGATCACGAGAGACAAGCAGCCTCTCGTGGCTGTGAGAGAAAGGGCCTTGCGGCCCTTGGGACAAGTCGCGGGCTCATGGCCAAAGTCAACATAGGTGCCCTTTTGATAGAAAATATATAGATGGCGGTAGGCTATAAAGCAACCAGGTCAACCAGGAATCGCCATCTATGTGCCACTAAAGCAACCAAAAAAGGTTACTATGCTTGTCAACCGCCCATTCCCCAAGTTCTTCGAACATCACGTGACATAGCCAAAGGCTCACCTTCCGCGCGGCAACATCAGCTGCCCGAATGACATTGGTCCGCGACCGGCACATGCAAGATTCGCCAGCAACTTCGGCTGTGATCTTGGCAAGGCCGGCTGGCTACAAGCTTGCTACGCCGGCTCTCACTCTCCATAATATGCGGTGAAACCGACAAGACGACAGCAGCCGACAGCCAGTTTGCAGGGAAACAGTTGAAACAGTTGACTTGTTTAGGGTCATGAGTTGTTTATCGGCGCGGTGATGCCTTTGCTTTCTTTCTTCTCAACACACACACACACACACACCACTGCCCACAACCTGGACAAACAGGGATCCTTACATTATACACCTGAACATTGCAACTTGAGAATGGTGGCTTCCAATTCTTTATTTTGGTGTTGAAAAAGCCAGCCATGTTTCAATTGGTTGCAAAGTCAATGTCCAGCCATGTTTCAAATGGTTGCAAAATCAATTTCCAGCCATGTTTCAAATGGTTGCAAATCAATTTCCAGCCATGTTTCAAATGGTTGCAAAATCAATTTCCAGCCATGTTTCAAATGGTTGCAAAATCAATTTCCAACCATGCTTCAAATGGTTGCAAAATCAATTTCCAGCCTCAAATGGTTGCAAAATGAATTTCCAGCCATGCTTCAAATGGTTGCAACATCAATTTCCAGCCATGCTTCAAATGGTTGCAAAATGAATTTCCAGCCATGTTTCAAATGGTTGCAAAATCAATTTCCAGCCATGTTTCAAATGGTTGCAAAATGGAGATTTCTTTTAAGGAGCCCTGCTTATGATATCATAAAATCTCCAGTGTGCGTGGTGCCCATGTGCACCCAGCCATCGCTCTTTTCAAAAACCGATCGCCATTTCTGCAGGGTGTTTGGTGGTTTTCTAGAAAGCTTCGGATCCCTGGAACAAAAATGGACATGGAAGGTACCCCTAGAAACTTTTCAGGAGCCCTGGCAAAAAAAAAATCCGGGCCTGCAAAATCGCTGGGCGGAAACCTCGCCGCCTCGCGACGCCGCCTCTCGACGCCGCGAAGTCGCTCAGTCGTCCTCGTCCACGCGAAGCGCTTCCTCGGCTTCCCGCAGCTTCCTCTCCTGCGAAAAAGACCGGGCGAGAAGGGACATAGGTGGTACATGGGTGTTCCGCCCCAAAATGGGATCGGCATAGGTTATGACCCATGGCCGCATAGGTGTCCAGGGCTGTGGTTGACATGGCCAGGGAGAGAAGGGACCTGGGTGTCCTAGGTCCTCCAGATTTGAGAGGTAAGGCTGCCCGACCGTTCTTTTTTTATTCCGTGGTCTGTTTGAGGGGTTCCACTCCCCAAAAAAACTCTTGGGGTCACTTCCCCAAGTGGTCTAGTGGAAACTGCAAATCCAACAGCCCTAAAAGGGCCTAGAAACCTCAAGAGATTCGTTGGGGTGCCTTCCATGTCCATTCTGAACCCAGGGACCCGTTGTTCTTTTCAGGAAACCATCCAAAAACCCCAGGGGAAACAGAGCCGGTGCTTGAAAAGAAGGATGGTTGAGAAGAATGGAAAAGGAATCAACCCCTAGAGAGAAGGGACATAGATGTCCCTCTGGAAAAATCCATGGGTTTCCCTGGTAAATGGAAAAAACACATAGATGGGTTCCCTGATAAATGGAATACACAAATAGATGGATCTCCCTGGTAAATTGATAAAATATAGATGGGTTTCCCTGGTAAATGGAAAAAAAACACATAGATGGGTTTCCCTGATAAATGGAATACACAAATAGATGGATCTCCCTGGTAAATGGATAAAATATAGATGGGTTTCCCTGGTAAATGGAAAAATAACAATAGATGGGTTTCCCTGGAAAATGGGGCATAAAACCCATCTAAACCCAGTGCCTTCCATTTTAACCACACTAACCTAAACAGGACACCAATGAGAAGGGAGCATCCTCGTTCACGCTTGGCTCTAGAAGGGGTGTTGGGCGCTCAGTGGCATGCCGCTTTGCGGCCTAAGCATCAGCTGAAGTTGGTCCACTTGGTCATCCCAAACTTTTCAAACTGCAAACACTGGAGCGGGGCAAAAGGCTTAAAGGACCTTGGCTCGCAGGTGCTCATCCCCTCGATCTCACAGCAGTCAAGAGAAAGCATGGAACGTTGGCCCAAAGGTGACGCTAAAACCACCAAAGCGGGAAATACGAAGAGCCATACTTGGTACTTGGCCCCAATCTGGGGTACACAAAAACAAACAGATATCTGTTCTGATTCTGGTCCATAGTTATTCAGTCCACCCCAAAATATAGAAGAGTCTTCCAACCAACATAGCAAGCTGTGGGGGGGGGGGGGTACCGGTTCCTTTTGCAGGGACCGGGTCCATGTTGTTCGGAGTGAGGGTAAGTTTGGAGGCGACCTGCACAGTTTTGGGGGAGCCCTGTTTTCGCTGAAGCTGTTTTATTCCGGATTTTCCGGGGTGGGGGGGTGGGGGGCGTCCGTAAAGCTCCCCTAGGTCCTCCAGTAGAGGGGCTAGAATAAGGGTACCCGTTTTATTTTTTCAGATTCCGCTTGACATGGCCTTGTCTCAGCATAGGGGAACCCCCCCAAACAAAAAAGTGGAGAGAAGGACACTGCTGGGGGACCTAGTCGCTAAAGAACCCTAAAAATCCCATCCCAAAGCCTAAGGAGCCCGAAATGAGCTCTCAACCGCCCATCCCTCGCGTACCTACCCCACGGATGCGATTCAGGTGAAGTTTCAGCAAAACTGAAAGGGATTCAGAGGGTGTCATGAGCACCTGTTTTTTTTTTTTCCCCCCGTTTTGTTGATACCCCTCTATTTGCTCAAGTCCCCTGGAAAAAATAAAAATGTGTCCAGTAGTGATAGATTCCCCTTAAACAAACAGGGGAAAACATCTTTTTTCAAGGGAAACCAGGAGGACCACCAAAAAATTTGGGGGCTCACGTCTCACTTCCTGGGTTCCGTTTCGGACTTTAACTACTTTTTGGGCTTGGGTGCCATTTTAGCCGTAAATAGAAAGTGTGTGGTTCCGTTTTTGGGCCAATACACACAGGAAGCGCGGGCTCACGATCGAACAAAGTGGGTGCCAATTGGCAAAATATTTCATGGAAACAGTAACGATGGGAACAAATTGATCGCTTTTCCATGAAACCTACAGACAAACCCGAAAATTGCTTGTCGAAAAAGACAGATCCATGTACCAAAGTGGGGAGTTCTTTGCTCCTCCGACTTTTGGCTGTCAAGAATCGGCTCACCCCAAAATTTTGAAGCCCTGTCAAATTGGGGAAAAAAAAACATGGACTGAACAAGTCTTTCGGTCCAATTCCTGGTGGGCTTTTCATTTTGCCCCATGTTTTTGGGCTCCATCCGCATCCGCTCCGCTCCGATCGCTCTAATCGGATCGTTCCGATCGCTCCGCGCCTTCTCCGCCTTCCGCTGCGCCTCCTTGGCCCTCTCCTTGGCCTTCCGCGCCTCCTGGCGAGCGAAGCGCCGAAGCGAGGGAGACGAGAAAAACCTGGGCTGCCCGGTCTCTTCCAGTTGGTTAAGACCCCTGGAAAAAATAAATAAATAATATATATATATATATATGTATATCGCCAGTAGTGATAAATGCCTTTTAGAACCAACAAGGGAAAACAAAACAAATGCTCTTCAGCAAATGGAAGCTTCGGATCCCCCCCTTGAAGTGACTAACTTTTAGTGTGTCAAATGGAAAACCCCAAGCGCTAAACGGATCTAAAAGGCTAAAAGATGGGAGCCAAGACACGGGGCAAAAAAAAAGAAGCCAAGGGAGCCACCATCCCCAAAAAAACGGGAGTCATGTTCCGGCCTGAACAAGAAAATGGAACCGATGAAGCGGTTGCAAGCAAGAATGGTCCATTTCGGGGCCCAACGTGAGGTTCCATGTGGACAGGAGGGTTCTAGAGGTTGCTTGTCAACCATCACTCTTTTTCAAAACCGAATGGAGGGCAGCCATTTCAAGAAAAGTGCTTCGCTCCCTAAGGAACAATTCGAGTTGGAACTACCCTTTTTTCGGGCTCTCAAGTACCCGGATCCCATAGGCAATGAACATTTTACGGGAGAAACCTTTTTCTTTACCAAGAATGGAAACGGAAGGTACCCATCGAGGGCTAGGTCCTCCAGTAGAGGGGTTAGACTAAGGGTGCCCGATGTTTTAGTCTATTTTAGTGGAACCCTCCCAACCAAAAAAGAAACGGTAAAAGGGCACTACTGGAGGACCTAGTTGATGATGATGTGTTTCCTTATAAACCCAGAAAATATGCCACCAGCCAGCTTTTTGTTGGGGGGAAACCCACATTTGAGGGGTCCCCGGTCTCAAACTCCGCGTTTTTTTCACGAGAAGGCTACCTGGGTATGGGTCAAAATGAAACCCCTAGGGAACCTCCGGTTTTAGTCCTTGTTTCCATTTACAAGGGTTCCATGTTGGGCACCGGATTTTTGCCCCACAGCCACCTGATATTTGTTTTCTCGCCCGCCTCGTCCTTCTGGCGTCGCCGCTCTTTTCGCCGCCAGTTCTTCCAGGCCACGCTGCTCTTGAGCGCCTCCTCCATGAAGCCTCGGGCGAGTTGTTTTTCGGGCGGTTGCGAAACCGGTGTGCCCAACCTCCGAACCGTTGGCTTTGTTCCTCCAGATTTGAGAGGTTAGAATCAGGGTACCAACTTTTTTCTGTAGTCTATTTTAGCAGGGGAACCCTCCCAACAAAACAGGGGAGAGAAGGGCACTACTGCGGCACCTAGTTTGGTTTTGTTCCTCCTGCCTGGTTCCGGGGTTGCGACGGTTGACCGTTGAGAAAACAAAAGGTTTTTGTTGGGAAAAACCCGAGTAATTCCAAGTGCATCTTGTCCGACATCCTGAACATCCCCAGCATGTCCAGCATCATTTGCATCACTGGCATCACCTCAATATCCGCATCAGCCACATCACCTGCATCAGGATCACGTTCATTCCACAGTGCTGGTGCTGGTTTGGTCGGCTCAGCCAAAACGGGGGCCAACAATATGCCTCCCACATCACCCACATTATCAGCATCATCAACTAGGTCCTGCAGTGGAGGTGAGAATAAGGGTGCCCGGGTACCAACTTGTTTCTGTCGTCTATTTTAGTAGGGGAACCCTCCCAACCAAAAAGAAATGGGTGAGACCTTCACGGATGAGCTCGGCCTACATGAAAAAAGAAATGACTGCCCATGTTGGAGTTCAACCAAGACGGCCTTAAAAGGAAACCAAACAGAACAACCACTGGAATTCGCAAGCCGGCCTCGAGCTAGCAGGCCATGACTCAGGTGGGGGGATGTCTGTCGGCTGAGGCGTTTGGACTCCGGCCCCCATAAACAATCTGGAGCACAAAAAAGACGCCTGAAAAGGGGGTTATGAGTTGCCCACAACAAACAACCCAACCTGCCTGAACCAGTTCAATCCATAGGTGTCCTTCTGGCAAAATAGACGTCCCTGGAAAATGGCCATCAACTCATCTAAGACAGTGAAACCGTCTATTTCTAACCAAAGTAAACTAAAAAGGACACCTATGGTTCGAACGCTCGGCTGAAAAACAGAAGAACCCGGACACCTCCGAAAACAAATATTAACCAAGCCACTTCCGAACTTGAGCCGGTGCTTGTAATCATCCTTCTGGAACTCCTGTGCCAAGTACACAAGGACCCCAGGATTTTCATAAACCTGTCCCAGTGCTTTTTCTTTCGGGGGGGAAAGTTCCCTCCAAAAGTGGTCTGAATCCAACCACTAAAAAAGGACACCCCACGATCAAAATCAACCAGGGTTGATTAATCCGGGGTTAACATTACATGGAACTCGGGGTGTGCAAACATGGTATAGAGTTTGCTTAGGGCTTGTTTAGGATTGGTTTCGCGGGCTGTTTTCTGGAGATTACCCTTTTCACCTTGAAATGGGGAAGCCAACTGGGAACAAGAAAACACGCGCCCAGCTTAGTCCGACAGCCAAGACCATCAAACTCCTGAAAGTGAATGGTTCCATCCATGTCGAGCGAGTGGTTCCATGGCATCCAAGGAATAGTTCCCTCACACCGCTCTCCTGCGGAGGCATCTTCGCCAGAGACTCCACGCAACCTGAGGCAACATCCACCCGTGCAAAGATGGATTCCAAGGACCAGCTGGCATACCATCCAAATGGACATACCTCGAAGCTGTGTGGAGAGGGTGACATGAGTTCAGGGCACATACCTAAGTTGGCCCTTAGATATAAGGGCCCATCTAGAATGGGAGCTTGCAATGCTCGCCCAAGGCTTTGTTGACTCACACCAGTGTAGAAAATTGAGTTGGATAAGTCAAAACCAAATCTAGCATGATGACAGGAGCTAAACGTCATGTTATGGCGACCCTTGTAATGTGTCTGAAGACCCCACGAAAGCATAGTGGGAAGCGTAACCAAGCCCTCGCTAGATGAAAACTTCCCCGAAGCTCCGATTACATTGTGCACGGGGCCAACAGGGCTCATATGATTTCTTCCAGCAAGCCGCATGGCGCATGAATTGGGTGTGTCGCGAAACTAGAGGACCTCTCAAACCATTGCCTGGAGTATCCCCATCAAGCGAAGCTCAAACCATGCGAAGCAGAACATCTCTACTCTTGGTATGGTGGCAACAAAACTTTGTTTTTTGCAGACCCCCAGTAAGCATGAACAGAACCAAAAAACTAAAGAACTAAAAAACATGCCAAGAACAGTAAAGAGAAGCTTTCCAGCGCGAAGGCTCCCATCAAAATCGAAATCAAACCGCTTCGATCCGGGGTCGGGAGGGGAGAGTGGAGAGATCTGAGGGCCAAATGCGCAGACCTCAACATTCGCGGTACCGTGGGTAGACCCTGTAATCCGTATGCCCAAGGTCAAAAACTGGCTGGTTCTCGGCAGGGAATGAGGGAATGACCCCCCACAAACCATCCAACTGGTGGTTTCTTTTAAGAGGGGACCTCAAACGGTTCATTCCTAACACCTGAACTCGGTCATTCCGTACCTGCCGCACAAGCCAGAAAAGGGTGGTGTTCCTTTCCTCTTTAACAAAAACGTCAAATGGAACTCGGAGGGTTGTAGAAATCATTCTATCTCTCTCGTTCGCGTCGGGAAGGGTACCCCAAAGACCAAATCCCCTAAGGTCAAACAGTTCCTGGTACTGTGGATGGACGAAATCCTGCACCACTTTGAAACTATGGAAAACCACTGTTTGTTTGGTATTTACAGGAGATCATCATTCCAGGATTTCTTAGGTGGTGCGAAATGAATTTCGCAACCATCCACACTATGTCCATTGACGTCAAAAAGGGCATGGATATGGGTCAAAATGAAACCACCAGGGGACCGCAAGTTTTAGTCCATGTTACCACTTACAGGGTTCAATTTTGGGTACCTATTTTTGACCCACAGCCGAATGTCCAACGAGCGGCTTCTATAAAGGTCGTAGGTGAGGATCTTCTTCTCCCAGCGAGCATAATGGTCCTGGCATCCAGAACTCTCCCACCACCGTTGACGCTTGCAGGAAACCGGGTACTTGGTTGACGTTGGAAGGGGAGCAAGAATTTAAACTTTAGCAGTTAAGTGGTTGGATTTCAACCACTCAACCACAAGAAGCAAAAATGTAACATGTGTGCCATAGGTAGGTCCTCCATTTTGTTCGCTCTGGAAAAAGAGCAAAAGACATATCGGATTCATCTCGAAGTGACGGATTCCCTGGGAGATATATATATATATAGAGCGGACCTCGAAAAAACCACCGGGGGAGGGGAGGGAGGGAGCCTTTATTAAAGCCCTTCACAAGCCCTTAATAAGGCCTTATTTGGGCTTAGCCCCCCCAGCCCCCCCAACCCCCCCAGCCCCCCCAGCCCCCCCAGCCCCCCCAGCCCCCCCAGCCCCCCCAGCCCCCCCAGCCCCCCCAGCCCCCCCAGTCCCCCCAGCCCCCCCAGCCCCCATGTTTTCTTCTGGGTTCACCTCACAAGGCGCGTCAGACCGCGTCAGACCCCCGCAAAAGCCAAAAGCCAACGGATCTCTCCGCCTCGCTTGGGCGGAAGGGATCCGGCGGGAAGATGTTCGGATGCCTCGGCGCCAGCGAGCTCTCAGGGATGTTTGCCAGGTGTCACTTGTCTCTGTGTGTGCTTGTGTGTGTGTTTTTACCCCCAAAATGCTGTGTGTGTTGCTTTTGTGTTTTGTTTTTTCTGGTTTTTTTAACCCCCAAAATGCTGGATCTGTGTTTGTTTCCCTTGGTTTCTTTTTTTTGATTCTTGTTGTTACCCCCAAAATGCTGGATCTGTTTGGGTTTCCCTTGAACACATTTCCAAAGTGGTGCCCTTTGTCGACACCCCCGGCCCTGCCCAGACCAAAGATGCTGGAAACCCCAAAGAAGGCACTTGAGATGGGGAGCCATGTTTTCACATAAGAAACAAAGGGAAGCCAAGGTTGCCCTATTCTAGGACCCTTTCATGATGAAAGCCCTGCTTGAGGATAACGAACAACAACCCAACGACAACACAAGCGCGCCTTTTGCACCGAGTTGATTCGCCTGAGTTTCACTCTCCCGGAACACCACCAAACCACCAATTCGGCTCCAAACCACCCTTTTCGTGGGAAGCTGACTTTCGGGGTGGTTTTAAAGAGAAGGGAAACCACTTGGTGCTTTTTTTTGGGGGGGTCCAATTCCTATGGGAAACAGCTGCTGCTTTGAAGAAAAGCGTGGTTTGAACCAAAAAAAGGCTGGGGAGAAAACAAAAAAAACAAAAACGGGAAAGGCGAAGCAGCGATCGGCGTTTGACAAGAACCATGGTTGAACAGAATGGAATCAACCACTAGGACTTTAATCCGAAAAATATGCTGCCCGGTGGCTCATCCTTGTACCGGTGGTTGGAGAGCGTCAAAGGCAGGCGCGGCTTCAAGCCTAAAATCTCTGCGGCTTGTGGTCCAAACAGATCGAATCGGACAAAGGCAAAAAAGCCCCTGGCTCTTCCTTTTGGCTTCCCTTTTCCTTGAACCGCTTCAAGGGGGTAAATTCAAAAAAACAGCAGACCCAGATGAGTTTTTGTGGTCAAACCGGTCAAAACTCCTTTGGGCAATGGTCATAGTCTTCTCACTCCGTACCTTCGGTCCTTTTTGCCTTTTTGCATGTGAACAATCAGTTCAAAGATCTGATGCCGACGAAAGCTTGGAAAATAGTTTCTCCCAACATTATGTGTTCCACGTAAGAAGGGGGAAATTGGAACATGGCACAAATGCTCGAGCTGGGCAAACACCCAACAAAGCAGGTGCCCCACTAAAAAACGACTCCCAAATGAGGCCAAGGGAGATACTCCGGTGGGATGGACACCAAGCCGTCATACTTCGTGAAAGGCCCCATGTATACTTGGTGCTTCGTTGATCCCATGCTAAAAGCCTTTAAGGGGGTCGTCTTTTTTGAGGGTACCCTTTTAGGGTGGCTTGAAAGGAAAACAAAGGGAATACCCACCAATGTTGAGGTTGTCTATGGCTGTTGAACAGGTAGGTGAAAGAGAAGACACAAGGTGTCCTATCTTTCGAACTCTTGGTATGGCAGCAAAAAGCTGTGTTTTTGCGACCCTCCACTTGACATGTGTTTTGAACAGAACCAAAAAAAACAAGAACTTACAAACAAGAATGCCAACCACAGCGAAGCTACGCGTTCGCTTCTCTCCACTCAAGATTGAGCCCAACAGAACCTCATAAGAGGAGTATCACCTTTTGGGAGCTTTTACAAAGGGACCAAAGTCGGAACACCAAAAGGTTAAAAGGTGTATTCGCTTTGGGCAAAATGAGGGGAAGCAACTCATTATCCTCACTCCCTCTGGCAGCTCGCACTTGGCCCAGGCATGCAATCTGGGGCGGACGAAGAGGCACAGGACCGATACCCAACCTCCAAAACCGGATAGAACATGGAGTACCCAAAACGGCTACCCTGAAAATCTGGTCCTGACCTCGCAGTGGAACCCAACACAAACCGCAACGAAAGATGCTCGGGACCTAGAGGACAGGAACCGAATAAAATTTGAACCGCGGCAGAGGACTTCACGAGGCAAAACGCAGCGTCAAAGAGACGGCACATGCCGGCACAAAGAAACAGCTATATGGAGGAAACAGCAAGCAAGATCAGCACTTGAAGTACTGCCAAAACCTGACCAAAAAAAGATAGGAAGGTACCCGAAACATCAGCAAAGCCCATTGCCCTTCTGGTTGGGAATGCCTTTTGGCCCCTTTTGGGAAACCGAAGTGGCGCCAAACCGGTTTGTAGCCCAAGGCATTCGGAACCCGCTAACTTGTCTCAGTTTGGCCCCTCAAAAAATGGCCCCCTCTAACAAGTGGTTCCCCCCCAGAGACTAACACCCCATACAAGGGGGAGATTCCCGGTGTCACAGAAGTGGGAATAAACCCCTGGATTCCACAACTGGTTCCCCCCAAAAACAGATCGGCCCGGCTGGTTGTGAAAACTTCCTCTCCCCGGGGGTTTGAAACTTGGATTCGAGCGGACACTTTTGAAAGTGCGGATCCGACACAAACTTTGGCTTTCCTTTGAACTAGGTCCTCCAGTAGTTTGAGGTTAGGATAAGGGTGCCCGATGCTTTTTCAGAACGTCTATGTTAGGTTCGAATAAGTTGGTGCCCGATTTTTTCTGGACGTCTATTTTAGTGGAACTCTCCCAACCAGGGGAGAGAAGGGCACCTAGCTGGGGGGCCCTGTTTGGCTTTCTGTGGTGAATTTGCAGGAGTGTAGATGAAGGTTCGGGGAGGGCCCATAGACCGCCATCCTGTTGATTCCTTGCATGACTTTGGGCGACCTTCTTCACTCGGGCGAGTGGTTCGCAGACATACGCACCCCTTCAGGGGGTTGGGTTCCTTTTCGGTTCTTCAACCATTCAAGCAGGGGCTATTCTGAGAAACACCCAGGTGGGAGGACAATCTTCTTGGTCCTGGAGGATTTTTCAAGTTGAGTCTTGGATGTCCCTCAAAAGCAACCCGAAAGTGTCGCTCTGTATTTGAGTAATGGTCAACCAAAAGGACAGCAAAAGCTTTCCTACACATGTGGCCCGATTTTTTGGGAACCACTTTTCAGGGCGCGGCTTTTCGGGGAAAACCAAAAGGACCCCAACATCTCAGTTGGCTGTCTTTGGAGTTGGACCCCCTTCCTGGTTAAATTTAAAGGGGAACCAAAAGGAAACCCTCCCATTTTGGGGGGTCCGCGCACACACACACACACACGAGTCAAAATCAAAACCCGGTATCAAAATTGTCGACCCAGAACCATGATTCAAGAATTAAGAAGGCGGATATCCGCAGCTATTTCTGGTCGGGATTGTCCCTTACTAACCTTCACTTACCCGGGTTTTGATTGTGACTCACACACACACACACCGGGTGTGGATTCGGGCGGCAAAAAACCGCCAAGAAGCGCAATCGCCTACGGCCCAACACCGAAGGAGGAGGCGGCGGAGGTAGAGACGGACACCATGAGTAGCGCTCCTCGCTATCCACGTTGAAATGGGCGTGTCTTCTCGGTTGCTTTCTGCTCCCTTGCTAAAAGTGTGCAACTTTTTGTGGTTTAATACGGAAAACCCATTTGTTGGCAAAAAGTTAGAATCGTCGTAAGGTCCCTTGGCAAAATGCACCAAAGACATCATCCAAACACTGGTGTCCGACTCCAATCTGGTGATTTCGTGGCAAAATTCATCCAAGATCCTGACTCCAGAGGTGTTGGGAACTGGGTTGATTTTTCTACGGGCAAGGACCCCCCCCCCAAAAAAAATGGGGGGTTCTCCGTATGGTGTTTCTTTAAAGCCAGCCAAAAGGAGGTGATTTTCCTGGCGGGTTCCCCTTAAACCAACCAATTTAGAGAGCCTGTTTGGGACTACCCCAAAATGCGGTGGGTGTCCTTTTGGTTTCTCTCGGAACCGACCGTTTTAGGGGACCAGTTTCTCTTCATACCAACCCGGGGCCCCTGTGGTGTCTCTTTAAACCAAGAAAAGGGCAGGTGGTTTCTCTGCGGTTTCTCTGCAAAAATAAAGGGGGACCCTTAAAACGCAGCCCCCAAATGGCATCTCAGCCCATCTGTTTACATCTTCAGAAGGAAATCAAAGGGAGGCTCTGTGTTTCCTCAATTCCCCGGAGGACCCCAAAATACCAAATTTTGGAAAACCAAGTGTTTGAAGGATCGGCTCTCATGTGAGTTTCCAGACCATGCAACAGCTGGAAGAGTTCTGAGGATGTCGTCTCGGAGTGGAACCCCAACTAGGGGATTCCTTTCAGCTCGCCTAAAATGCGACCACCCAAGAGGGTATACGCACAATGCCAAACCCCTGTCCCGCTTGGTAAAAACAGGTACTATGAAAGGTGCCAACGAGCTTAGAAACTCATTTTTGAATGGAGGGTTGCCTTTGCTTTGAAACTACACAAGGGAGCCCCAATTTTGGTCGGAGGCGGTCTTGCGGGATCATGAAACCGGGGAACCACTATGAAACCAACATGACACCTACAAAGAAACACAAGGGCCCACGGCCAGATCTGGCCTGAGAGGGAGCTCGACTTCTCGTCACTGAAGTCCATTGGTCAACGGTGTCGAAGTTGTTTCAGGTGTTGAACCCAGTCAAAAGAAGGCGTCACGGGTTTCCTAAAGAGAACTAAGACAAACGCAAGGTTTGTTGAGTCAGCCTAGTTTTGAGTATTGCAGCGTTAGCATCTTGCAACTGTCACTCGACAGGCCGAAGGCCCGCATTAGCTCGTGTTCTCGAATTGCAGCCTTGCAGTCCATGCATGCCCTGCATACGTGCACGATAAAAATAAGATTAAAACGGCGTGCCGTCTTGCCGGCAGTCCAGTCTCCCGATGTTTTCCCTGGCCAAGGCGCTGCGTCCGGGATGAAGTACATAGATCCGCCCGTCTCCAGCGTCCACTCTGGAAACGGGTTGTCCCAGACGTTGGGCATCTTCTTCTCCTCGGCTCCGACCCCAAGCACTCCAAGAACTCCAAGCGGCCATGAGCTCAAGGGGCTCCAGGTGGCCCCATGAAAACCAGATCATAGTTCAACCCACAGAGCTTTCTTGGGTGAAATCACCCAAAGGTTTTATGTGTACATATATGTGGTCATAGTTGTATATAGACATATATATATATATACATATACATATATATATACATACATACCTCAACCCACGTAGGGCTTTGAGGATCCCAGCCACAAGGCTGCAAACGGTCCGTTTTCCCAGGCGTCAGTTGGTGGTTCCTTGCCCTCAAACACGTAGCACTTGCTTCCACCGACAAGTTCCGAAGGGAAACATGCCATCACATCTCTACTTTTGGTATGGTAGCAAAAAACTTTGTTTTTTGCAGACCCCCAGTAAAAATGAACAGAACCAAAAAACTAAAAAGCATGCCAAGAACAGTAAAGATCAGCAAGAACAAGTCACGCGTCAAGGTGTGTGACATAGGCAAGGTAGGTGTACAAGAAAGCTGGAGCATTGTGCGATGAGATATAATCCAAATTGCCTACCTGATTATCACTGTCACAAAAGGACGTACCCAGAAAAAGGTGACTATATAGTGGTTACGTAAGAGTTATACAATGTTGCAAAGACAGTGTGACCTTTTTTTCAACCCCCAAAACTCTCCCAAAATCACCCGGCATCTCTCCCCTGAATTCCCCGCCACAAGAAACCACCCCACCATAAAAGGACCCGCAGAGCAAAGGACGCACCCATAATCAACTATTTTGGGGTATGTAATTTTTCCCCCACGGTATGCTGTGTTTTCCCGGCCCAGGAAAATTGAATATATTTTGGGGTATGTACTCTTCGGCCCCGGTGGGCTTTTTCCCGGGGTTCCTCAGCACCGGTCTCAAAATGAGAAATCTGGGGCATCACCTGGGCGTTATTCTGCCCACACTGCTTTTGCCAGCCCGGGGCTGAACACAAACCATCACGAGTAGCGCCTGGCATAGGCTAATAATCAAAGTGGCAAGCGAACATCCCTACCCCGAGAACCGAGAAGGTGTTTCCATTATTTTGGGATAGGTACTGTTGGGGTATGTACTTTTACTCTTAGAAAAAGAGGGACATGTGTGTAAATACGGATATCTCTACACTCCAAGCCTCTTTACACACATATATATTAAAAAAAGAAGGTTTGGTTTCTGCTCAGCACGGCGGCAGCTTCTCCTGGCAGTTCGACATCCACATTTGGATGTGTGCCCTCACCAACCCAAAAAAGGCTTGGTTGCTGTTGACCCGCCTGCAAAAAGTTTAGCTTTTTGGAGGGTTAGTGGAAAACGCCCTGATTTCCCAGAAACTTAAAGTCTACAGAACAAACCCAATAGCAGTCAAGAAGGGGTCAGAAAAACCGACACACCCAAAGGAACCCAGTGAACGCAAAGGGAGTGCCAGCCGCACATTCGAGGTCCGAGCAGCTGATTGGATGCCCTGCCGTTCCTCAGCGGCGGCCCTCTGCGCGATGCCCTGTGAGCGAAGAGGCGTTGTTCTTGGGGAAAGCTGGTGGGGGAGGGGGGGGGGGCCACCGAGGGTGGAAAACGGTCCAAGCACCCAAGAAATTCAAGATGAAGTTGTGAACGTTTAGATGGGTGGGTGTTTTCCCGAAAACGTGGTGAGGGGTTGCGTGGAAAAAGGGTTGCTTGCATAGCCTGACATTCACAGCTCTGCACAGCCCAGATCTGCGACAGACTTGCTCTGCGCGTAGCTCTGCACGGCCAAGCTGCGCAGTCTAGCTCTGCGCAGCCCAAATTTTGCAGCTGGCGTACGAAGCTGCGCTCTGGCGACCGTGCGAAATTTCTGGGGCTTTCGTTGCTGGCTGTGGAAGTCGTCTTGTCCGCCAGCTCCCCTGCACAGCCCTGCACGTATCTGCTATGTTGCAGCTCTGCTTAGCCCTGCTGCGCGCAGCTCTGCTCGAAACACTTCGGCTTTGCACGCCCGTGTCAACATAGCATTTCAACATAGCCTTGCTGCACAGCACATCTCAACATAGCCTCGCTGCACAGCACGTCACAGCATAGCCTTGCTGGGCAGCCCATCTCAACATATGTTGCTTCAAAGCGCATCTCAACATGGCCTTGCTGCGCAGTGCATCTCAACCTGGCCCTTGCTGCGCAGCTCTGCTTGGGGGCATGATTGGGCTCTTTTTTAAATAAACGTTTCAGGATGATTGGGGTCTAGCTTTTTGGGGACCCCTTCAAACCTATGGTTTGTGTTTTGGTTTCCTTTATTTCCCCCCCCCCAAAAAAAAAAAAAAAACGGTTACCCTCAAAAAAGAAAGATCCAAGAATACATGCAGGAAACCGGTCAGAAAATGCAGCTAAAAAGGACGGAAAGAAGGAAATGGAAGTCAATGAACACTTGCGATCAGTGAAACCCAGAGCATCCCTAGCATCGCAAGATTGGTTCCCTGCCAACCGACCTATCTGCTGGGCTACAAGAATAGGAAAACCAGACTCAAAGGAAGAAAGTGACAAATCTAGCAACCAACAAGGAAGACTTCTATAAAAGGATTTCCAAATTTCCGCGCCTCTTCATGTGCCCCCCCCCTTGCCAGCCTTCACGTGCCTGCTTAATCCGGGCTCAACAACATCAATTAATCACTTCCCCCCGGGTTCTTTCGGCCAAAAAAGAGAATGCGAAAACGAGGCCATGTCCGTCACGTCCGTTTCTCGCCCATCGGCCCATCGCGGGCCTTGGGTGCGTCGTCCAGCTTGCCGGCCTTTTTCAGCTCCACCTTGAGGCTCTCCATCTCGTCCGAGAAGTCCAGCCTAGCCGTCCGTTGCTGTTGGGGCGATGTGGGCTGGGTGAAAAAAGAAATGGCTGGTGTTCTGAGGGGTGACCAAAATCAGTGCAACATGAGTGTGTGTGTGTGTGTGGCGTGTGGCGTGCGCGTGTTTTTGTTTGTTTTGTTAAGGGGGGATGTTGGGCTAACTTCAGGGTCGGGGCCCGGGTGTGTTGGGGCCCGGTCAGCTTTCCTTGAATGGGACTTTGGTTTTGCTGGGAGCGAAGACTCATCGGGCGACGGGTCGGTGAATCCCAGGTGGTTCGCCAACCAGCCATGTTCTGTATTTTGGTGTTCGGGTGGGAAAGCAACTCAGTGGATGCCAATATCAGAGTTTTCGAGAGCTTCCCCGATAAAGAGGGAGGAGTCTGTCCCAAGACTTCACTCACCTTGCCCCCAAATGGAGCGCGTCTTTTTCTAGCGTCGGCTTTCTTTTGGTCTGTCTTGAAGCCAACCCCGAACTGCCTGAAAACAAAAAAGAAACACACCCGATTGCTGATTTGTTAATGGTCCATTGAATGACAACATAGTGAAGCCCCTTCCAAGCGGAAAGTGTGAAGGATGTCCAAAAGAGGCGTCTGGAACCTGTACCCTCTGTTCATTTGGCCAGGCTCTGGCCCCTTTTTTCTCGAAACCAAGGGCCTGGGTAAACCAAGGGCTCTGGTGCACAAGTGACAATCAAAACCTGGTATCAAAATGGTCCACCCAGAACCCTGCTATTAAGAAGGCGGATATCCGCAACTATTTATGGCAAGGGACTGTCCCTTACTAACCTTCACTTACCCGGGTTTTGATTGTGACTCACATGTTGGTTAAGCTCAGTAACCGTGCCAACTGGACTGGGAAAAAAAGGGAGAGAGAGAGAGAGAGAGCTAACCCTACAATAATGTCCACTACCCCCAAACTCCTAGTCACTACCCCGCAAACAAACAGGCTACTACCTTTCCAGCCCTCATGTACTGCTCATATACCGTCATACACCCCGACCCTTACCCCTGATATATATTTTTTACACCCTAAAAACCCCTGTATACTTTTCAACCACAGGAGTCTACGAACTCCATCAGCCCAACTGCAAGGACCCCCATTTCCCATGACCAAGCCCTCTGCTTCAACCTGCATCTTGAAATGAGGGTACTAGAAAATGTCTCGTAGCGCTCACAAAAGCCTGGGTGTCGCAGGGCTACTCCAAAATATGGTTTTCCTCTTGGTTCTTTACAACCAACAGGGCCCACCCATGGTGTCTCTCTTATTTTGAGGGAACCCCGGTTTGCTTGGTTTTAAATGGACATCAACCGGAAAACCGAAGCCACTTGGGGTGGTCACCGACTGAGCTCCCAGCGGGGGCGTCGATGTGCCCGAGACGGCGCTCTTCGGGGTCTCCGCGTGGTCCGGCGGACCATCCGGGAGCAGGTCCTCGCGGCTCCGAGTTCCGAGTGTGCGTGTGCCTTTGAGTTGGCTCGTCTAGGTCCTGCAGATTTGAGAGGTTAGAATAATAAGGGTGCCCGATTTTTTGTTCTGTAGTCCAAAAAGCCTGACTAGGTCCTCCAGTAGAGAGGTTAGAATAAGGGTGCCCGTTTTTGTGTTTTTTTCTGGACGTCTATTTTAGTAGGGGAACCCTCCCCCAAAAAGGGGTGAGAAAGGGGCACTGCTGGGGGACCTAGTCGTGCTTCGTTGAGCTGGTGCGCCTCTCTGCCGGGTTTGACGGAAGAAAAAAGGAAAACCGAAGCCGTTTTGGGGGTCTTGAAAACAAGACACACCCACTTAGGGATGCCCGCAAAGTGATCTCACGATGTCCCGAAGTCCCAGAAAGATGTTCCTTGGGCCTAAACACGGGGAAAAAAACGTGGGTATCTGTATGTATATGTCCAGGGGTTGATTCCCCATTCTTTTCAACCATTTCCAAAAACCGGTCGTTTTCACAGGGTTTCTTGAGGTTTTCTAGAAAGAAGGATCTCTGGGAATAATGGGGAAGGTACCCCTAGAATACTTTGCATACACAACTCCAATGAGTTCTTTGGTGTCGCCAGATCTCTGCGACAGATCTCAGAATCTCATCCCAAGGTGGAGGGTGACTGTCTTAACCGATACAAAGCAGTACTTTTGTTTATGACTGTTCTCTCACTGTCCCCTGGAAGATCGGATTCCACTAAAAACTGGGACCCCCCTAAGGTTTATAGCGTGAAGCCAGTTAATTGGTACACACCTTTATTGGTCTCACTGCTCAAATGCAGTACCCCTTGACCACAAGTTTGAACACACAACATAATCTTCAGTTTGCTGGATCCTGAATTTTGAGCCACACCGATTTTGGATAGCGGCGCGCGGAACATAGTGTGGTTGCCTCTTGTATTCCCTTCTTCACGGTTTGGGTTCACCATTTTCTCACAAAACGGCGTGGCTCAGCCAAGGCACTTTTCTTTCAGGTCCTTACGATCCCCTTTTCCAGTGAGAGGTGACCCAAATGCTAACATTAACGGTCCTTCCAATATTTATAAATCAGCTAGGTCGCATGGTTTTTACCCCATGTTCTAACTATCTGTTGCTCCGGATGTCTGTGCTTTGCCCACCTTGACCAAGATCCTAAGGAGGACTTAAAGCCAGGCGTCATGACATTTGTCCACAATGCCGGGAAAACCCCAAGGCAACGGCCATGTGAACTTCAATCGGAGTGTGATCCTTTCAAAAGGGAAATCAAGGGTGCCCCTCGGAAAAGCGGACCAAAAAGAGGCAACTTGCTGGTGCGATAGGTAGAGAATGACCTAGGATGTTGGGAATGAACGGGTTTTGGGGATTCCCTGAAAGGAAGCCACCAGTTGGATGGTTTATGGGTGTCATTCCATTTCTCATTCCCTGCTGGAGAACCAGCAAGACTACCCCCAAACCTCCGGGGAAATATGGTGGTCTGCTAGGTCCTCCAGTAAAGAGGTTAGAATAAGGGTACCCTTTTTTTTCTGTAGTCTATTTTCCTGTAGTCAATTGGGGAAACGGCCGGAGTTGTTTTAAATGGAAACCAGTGTGCAAATCTTAGCGTCGCCTGCAGGTCGGCGAGGTTCAGATCGGCCTCCTCATCATCCTCCTTCTCCTCTCCTGGGCGGGACGGGGTGGTCGCAATCCCATGAATGTTCTGAAAACCCACAAAAGGAGAAGGAGGATGACGGTTCTCGGAGAAACCCAGGAGGATGAAAACCTAGGAGGATGCCAGTTCTAAAACCCAGAGCAAACCACAACGGTTCTCTGTTTCGGGCGTGTGAAAGAAAGGATGCCCGTGGTTCATGGAGGAACAGCTGGACTTCCGACTTTTCCTCCCTTGCCACTGAACGTCCGGGGGGGTTG